CTGGTGCTCTACTACTTGAGCTATGCCTCCACTCCTGGCTTTTTGCTGGTTTATTGGAGAGAAGAGTTTCTTGATCTGTTTGCCTGGGCTGACTTTGAACCGAGACCCTCAGATCTCCTGAATAGCATAGTACTATTTTCACGCATGCACATGAAGTATTTTGATCATATTCTCTCTCCTTCACCCTCTCCCTTTGTCCTCCCTCCTCCCATTCATACCCACACCCTAGACAGGACCTGCTTCACCTTCTTAAAAGCTGAGGCATGAACTTTACCCAAGGAAGTTTTAAAGGCAACGTCCAGGTCAATCAAAGCTAGGGAGTTAGTGGGAAAAACACAATGCCTTCTTATTTTTACCCAAATCTTGGGGGGTCCAGGTGAGTGAGGTGGTGGTAGGGACGAGGTGGGCAGAGGAAGAGCCTGCTCTGAGACACTCCTCCACGGCCTGGCTCCAGCCCTCGGGCCTCTGTGCGCTCAGAAACAGAACTGACCTGTGTGTCCTCCATGCTAGCAGCAGGCCCCTGTCAGGTAACCCTGTCTGAACCTGGCTCCAGCAGGGCCTGCTCAGGCATGTCCCTGCCCCCTGAAGTCTGCCAGTGTTGCCACAGCGCTCTGCTGGGTGGTGCCCTGCAGGGGGCAGCCGGGAGCAGCTGAGGAGAGGTCTGGTGTCCAGCGCTGGCCCCTCCCTGGGCCCCTGCGGCTGCTGCCGCTGCTGCTGCGTGCTCACGCTAGGACCTGGCCTCCTCAACTTCCTTTCTATTTCTAGAAACCTCTTCCTCCCTTGGAAATAACTCAGAAGCCCTCCTGCCAGGGGGACTCGGGCCTTGGAAGGCTGGTGGCTCTCGCCTTGCAGCTCCTGGTTATCCTTCCTGCTGGCCGGAGGGCGGCGAGCAGCTGCTGTCCAGAGCCTCGGCATGGACGGATGGAGCCAGGTGGAGGATGGAGGTCCTGAGGCTACAAGTCAGAGGCTGGGACAGAGGTAGGTTGGTGTGTGTGTGTGTGTGTATGTATGTATGTGTGTGTATGTGTTCTGCATGTTCACTAGACACACAGTGATGTGACCCTGGCAGACAGCCCCACCCTGTGCTAGGTTTGATGGCGGAGGCTCCAGCTCTGGGGAAGTTTCTTCATGGTGGTAATCGTGCTGTCCCAAGATTCACAGGAGGGGCTGGGGGGGCACTTCTGGGAGGGGCTGGGGGCTGCCCTCCTCCTGGGGGTGAGACAGATGGAGGGCTCAGCCCCGCTGAGGTGGGAGACGCAGGCATGGTGGAGGAAGGAGCAGGCAGGAAGTTTTCCATCGCTGGGGCAGTGGCGCAGCACAGCTCGGGGCAGTGTGGGGAGCGTGGGCCAGCGCCAGCCCTGCGATTCTGCTTTAGTAACACAAATGCCCTGCGCGGGTCAGGTTTTGTCTTTTTCTTTTTTGTGGGTCCTGGGACCTGAACTCTGGGCCTGGGCGTTGTCCCTCAGCTCTTCAGCTCAAGGCTAGTACTCTACCACTTGAGCCACAGAGCTACTTCCGGCTTTTTCTGCTTATATGTTACTGAGGGATGGAACCCAGGGCCTCATGCATGTGAGGCAAGTGCTCTACCACTGAGCCACCTTCCCAGCCCCTGTGTCAGGTTTTTGCCAAGTGGCGCGTGGAGATGGATGTGGAAGGTGACACCCAGGTTCTTTTTTTTTTTTTGGGTCCGGTCGTGGGGCCTAAACTCTGTGCCTGGGCGCTGCCCCTCAGCTCTTCAGCTCAAGGCTAGAGCTCTACCACTTGAGCAACAGCACCACTTCCAGCTGTTTTCATTTTGCTTTATGTGGCGCTGAGGAATCAAACCCAGGGCCTCAGGCATGCAAGGCAAGTGCTCTACCACTGAGCCATCTTCCCAGCCCCCACCCAGGTTCTTTTCAACCATTTTATTTCATGTTCTACATTTGTTGTGCTTTGTGTTGGTCTCCATTTTTTACTGGACTGGAAACCCAACGTGGCGCTTCCCCCGGTCACCTAGCTATTCAGGATGTCGAGATGGAAACAATCTGGAGTTAGAAACCAGACAGGACCAAAAATTGACAAGACCCCTGGTCAAAGAATAGCTGGGGGATGTGTGTGTGTGTGTGTGTATGTGTGTGTGTATGTGTGTATGTGTTTGTGTGTATGTGTGTGTGTATGTGTATGTGTGTATGTGTTTGTGTGTATGTGTGTGTATGTGTTTGTGTGTATGTGTGTGTATGTGTATGTATGTGTGTATGTGTGTATATATATGTGTATGTATGTGTATGTGTGTGTATGCGTGTGTATGTGTATGTATGTGTGTATGTGTATGTGTATGTATGTGTATGTGTGTGTATGTGTGTGTATGTATGTGTATGTATGTGTGTATGTATGTGTGTGTGTGTGTGTGTGTGTATGCGTGTGAGGGGGGGCAGCTCACACCTGCCACCCCAGCTTCACAAGAGGCTAAGGACATGACAGCCGTCACCTGACACACACGAGGGTTGTGGCATTCCATCTCAGCAGGCGTCGGGAATGGGGGGCATCTGCGACAGCTGTCCCATCAACTACGGCAGGAAGCACAAAATAGGAGGATTATGGTCTAGGCACAGATGCAGATGAAAACCAAAACCATGTCTCAAAATAACCACCACCAGCAGCGCTGGAGGTGTGCAGTGAGTCTCACGTGTTGTGATGGCAAAAACGGTTGAAAGACTGTAAGGATTTGGGGGAGCACAGAAAGTCACATGGAACAATCTAGTCTGACCCTGGGATCCCAGCAGTTCGGATTCTTTGGGGGTCTGGAGGGAAGAGGAGAATGTGTTCCCACTTGACATCGTGGGACCTGATGGGTTCCCTTTGTCCCAACAGCCCAGCAGAGCAGAACGCCGGCGGCTCCCAGCTGCGGCTCCTCCTGCTGGGGAAACAGGGAGCGGGAAAGAGTGCCACTGGGAACACGATTCTGGGCAGAGCTGTGTTCGAGTCCAGGTTCAGCAATCAGATGGTGACGAAGGTGTGTCGGGGAGAGAGTGGAATGGCGGCGGGCAAGGGGGTGGTGGTCATCGACACCCCTGCCCTCTTCTCTCCACTGGCCAGTGCTCCCGACCGGCAGCAGACGGTTCGACAGTGCCTGGAGCTCGCTGCCCCCTGCGTCCACGCGCTGCTGCTGGTCATCACCCTTGGCTACTACACGGCGGAGGATGAGGGCACCTTTAAGGGCATCCGGGACGTGTTTGGAGCGGACGCCTTCAGGAACGTCATTGTTGTCTTCACGCGGAAGGATGACCTGGGGGATGAGCTCCTGCAGGATTACATCGACAGCAAGCAGTGCCTCAGGGAGCTGGTCCGACAGGTCAGCGGTCGGGTCTGTGCTTTCAACAACAAGGCGCAGGGCGCTGAGCGCCATGCCCAGGTGTCGGAGCTCTTCTGCAAGATAGAGGATCTGCTGCTGAAGACCGGCGGGCTGAGCTGCGAGAACTTCAAGATGGCAGGCAGTGAATTCCAGGTGAGAGCTGGTGAGGGGGTGGGAGGTGGGGCAAATGAATGGAAGACTGCTTTGTGTGAAAGACCAGAGGTTTTGTTTAAGATATATACTCTATCAGTCATCTATCTATCTATCTATCTATCTATCTATCTATCTATCTATCTATCTATCTATCTATCTATCTATCTATCCATCCATCCATCCATCCATCCATCTATCTATCTATCTATCTATCTATCTATCTATCTATCTATCTATCTATCTTTTTATCATCTATTTATTTATTAGTCTTGGGCTTGAACTCAGGGCCCGGGCACATCTCTTAGCTCTTTTGCTCAAGGCTGGTGCTCTACCACTTGGATTAGAGTTGGAAAGATGATTAATTTTTGTAGCATTCACATTTACATTGGCATAATTTCTTGCATTTAAAGCAAACGTTAAAAAAAAATAAAGCAAACGTTACATGCTAAAGCACTTGTATATTGGGGTTGCTTAGTAATGCATGCCTCTCATTCCCTGTCTCTATTCTTCCTACATTGATCAGGATGCATTGTATGCATAGATTGCTTTGTGAAATAGCAAAATATTCAATACATAACCTAAAAAGAAAAGTGAGGGCAGGGGTGGGTTGGGAGAGGTGGGTGAGAATGTGGAAAGGGGGGACACATGGGTCCAGATGCATTGTCTTCATAAACTACTTTGTTGAGTGGCAAACTCCTTTGTACAACTACTTCAAGATAATAATGATAATACCCTAAAGTTCATGCCAGTACCCCTGAGACAGTCTGAAGTCCTCTCCTTCTTCTTACAGTGTGTCTGTGTCACATGATACATCTCCTTTCTCTGCTTTCCACCACTGCTTTCTCATTCATTGGTATTTTGGGGTGACAAGCCAGACCTGAGTTGTTGGAACTTCCAGAGTTGGGGGACCTCTGGCCAAGAACTCTGGGTAAAACTTGATTATTTTTGTGAAAAAAAAGAGATAAAAAAATCTGTATCACTTTTTATTTTCTAGGATTGTGTGAATAAAGCTACATGTCAAGCAGGAGCCGCTCCATGTGGTAAGTCAATCCTTTTAACAGTTTAGGTTCACACCTGCATTCTGTTAGTGCATTGGACAGCTAGAGGAAAGGAGGAAAGCTGTCCATGTGAATCAGAAGCAGAGTACATCCGGGGACCAAGCTTGTACATGCCACACCTATACTGGGGGAAATCCTAACACATTGCATTGGTGCCTCACCAACCCTGGACGCCATGTGTCATATCCCGGCCCCTCTGGCATGGTATGACCCAGGCTTGCTTGCTATGGTTTCTTTTCTAACTCAGCTTCTTTTTCCTGGTCCCGAGTCCAGCATGGTCCATGTTTTGGCTATGAATGCAAAGCCAAAACCACTCTTAATGAACAACCACAACGTGCAGCATTCACAGTAGAAGGATATTGCAAGTATTGCTGCAGTAGCTGGTTTTCATTGCCTGTAATGATTAGTGCACAATCCAGTACCTACTAATCATGGAGCTGTCTTCCACAATGTGGACAGAAACAGAGAAGGCAGCCCTGGATGCACTTCTAGATTATTTCTGGGCCAGCTCTCTGCAAGAACTGAGTGTTCAGTGGTGACGAACACACCCCACAGGACATGGGGCAGATGTGAGGTGCAGAGATAGTTTCAGGGCACAGATTTGCAGATTTGATAGCCATCCATGGAGGCCTGAATCACGTAGAGTAAAATGCACAAATCAGAGGTAGCCACTCGATGGCCTGTTCCATCTTGACCCCATGTAGACAAAGGTATGGAGTGCATTAATTACCTTAGATCCTTTGACAACCATGTCCCCAACTCTAACCAACACAGATTCTTAACTGTGTTCAATGGATGACATGGGGTGTGGGCTTTGGCTCTGGGTTCATGCTTTTGAGTTCCATCCGTGTTGCACATCAGGAGTTTTTGTTTTTACTGAGCAGCATTTATTTTGTGACGGTCCTATTAAAAAGTGGACATTTTTACTTCAGTTCTTCCTCATTCTCACCTAAGCTCAGAGACCTCATGCTTCCTTCAGTAATTCCCTTTGAAAGACAGGGACCAATGCAGGCCCTAATTCAGCATCTCGGCCTTCCTGGGAAGCCTCCCACTCCCATGCATCCCCTAGTTCCCTTCTTTCTGCTTCACGTCTCCACCTGCTGGCTGACTTCTGACCTGGTCAGAACACTTTTGCCATTCTCACTCTATGTGGTCAGGGAAGAGACATCCTAAAACCTAGCCGTAAGACCATAAGAGGAGGCTCTGAACCTGCCTTTTTATCCCTTAGATCCGGGAGACGGACCACTGCAGGCGTCAGGACTTGAGCAGGACACTGGGTTGCTGGACCTTCAGGTTCTCCTCGTGGGGAGGCAGGGTTCTGGAAAGAGCACCGTGGGAAACAGCATTCTGGAGAAGCAGGTGTTTAAGACTCAATTCAGCCAGCAGTCAGTAACCCAGCATTGTGCATGTGAGAGCAGGATCTGGAGAGAGAAGAAAGTTCTGGTCATTGATGCTCCAGAGCTCTCAGCTTCAGAGTCTGCTGCGTCTCAGCTTAGGAAAAGCATGGCTGCCGGCCCCCATGCCTTCCTGCTGGTGACACCACTGGGTTCTTTTGGCCAGAGGGACATGGAGGTGCTACAAGCCATCAAACGCCAGTTTGGAGACAAATACATTAAATACATGATCATTCTCCTCACTAGGAAAGAAGATTTACAGGGAGAAGACCTAGAGACACACTTAAGCAAGAACAAAGCTCTGTGGGAACTCATCGAGAAATGTAAACGCAGATACAGAATCTTCGACCACTGGGCCATGCCAGGGGAGAAGCAGAGTCAGGTGGACGAGCTCCTGCTTCAAGTGGAGAGTGTAGCGCAAGAGAACGGGGGCAGGCCTTGCGTCTTCAGAGAGAAAGGTAAGCTGCA